ATGGGGGATAGTCATCATTTTGTGCTCAGAATTTTTTTTTTTTTACTTTTTATAAAGAGGAAAAAAGTAAAAATGTATAACAATTTTTTATGCTTGAAAACACATTTGTGTTTGAACCATATTCTTTTAAAACATCATCTGTGATATTCATAATTGAAGATCTGCTGCAGCTCAAAAATTCTCACATCACAATACAAGACCTCTCTTTCTTGAGATTTGACCTCAGCACTACAGAAACAACAGCTTAGGAATGCCAGTAACGTTGAGCCACACACTGGGCCAGCAAACACCCAGACATCAGACACCTGTTCACCAATGCCAGTTTAGATGACCCCCTACACACACACGTGCACGCACACGCACACGCACACACACAGAGAAAGAGAGTCGTTAAGTTACCAGACTAATGAACCTTGCTACTACCACGATTTCTGCCAACAGTATTCACTGCACCAACATGCGATCTCTGCTTCTCATCTTTTATTTTGCACTGACTTGGTTAGCTGATAATCTTACAATCTGACAATGTTTGCTTTACATCTAAAGTAGAGGAGTCACATGTTACATCAAACTCTGCTTAAGGATATCCCATATTCAAGAAGAATTTTAATGAAACAGGACCAGCTCTCTGGCATACACTAAATACTACAGATAGTCTTTATTACAGACATTAAGAACAGCGAAGATAATGTGTAGGTATAACTGACCACTACACCTCTGATAAAAAGGGGACTAGTGTCATTAATAAAACCCCCAACAAGGCAGATTCAATATAAAATTTGTATGTTTCTCTACGTGAATAAACAGTGAGGTTTCATTTATTAAAATGTAAAAGGAGTGAAGCTACAGGTGCTTTCAGCATCTCATGTCTGACTTTGAGGTAATTTTAGAGCTGGTCTGAAATTGATTTCAAGAATGTAAGAATGCATTGTAATGTTAGAATCATTATATCAACTCATGTCACGCATATAAACTTGCAGTGTCGTATTCAGAAATATTGTGCCAGAAATGCAGTAGTACTATAAAGCAGAATGTACTTCTTAAAGTAAAATCCAATTTGGGTTGAAATAACACAGCATGTTTTAAAGTGCGAATAACAATGTTTTAACTGAATTACTACACAATTATTTTCCCATGTTTCAAGAGGGATAAAATGGAATCAGAGAAAAATAAAACCCTTCTTTTTTATGTATTCCACTCAAAATACATGGGTTTTAAATTGAATTTAAAGAGGTTTTATGATTTTAGTGGATTGCATGCTTTATGATTACTAAAATCAGGGTTCCCACTTTAAGTAAAATGTCCATTTCTTTGACTTTTCCATTATTTTACCAACTAATTTCCCCAATAAAGCTCAATTTGCATGACATATCCACCTTATTTTTATATAAGAGTGGCACGGCCATGATAACTTCAATTTGTCAAGAGTTCATTCATTTTTAGCAAAACAAAACAACTCTTTATACTGCCTGATGTTGTAAACTGTCATTTTCTTATCATGTAGTTTTCATGATTTCCGGTTGACAATCTGGAGTGGAATAAAATGGCTCAGAAAAAATAAACAAACCATAAAAACAGGCAAAAACGTCAATGGAAAGTACAATTTAGAACGTCAAGCAAAAATCCACGACATTTTATGACTTGGAAGAACATTTTCCAGAAAGTCCATGAGCTGTGGAAACCATCTAGAATGCATTTTGACCATCAAATGCAATACAAACATGTTTGTAAAGTTCGGCATATAACATAACTCTGAGCAGTAACATTTACTGTATGCATAATAAAGCCTGAAGAGACAAATACATTTACCCTTTCGCATCTGGTCTCAAACCACCTCCTGATGCCCGTTGTGCTGCATCTTCTAGGGCATTTAGCATGCCAATAAATGCCATCTAATCAGAAAAAAAGCATCAAGCTACAAAGTGTACACCCTCCCAAAGTGAATGATTATATTAAAAGCCATGTGATCACAGTTTGACAATTATGGTTAAACCAGATAATGTGTCTACAAGATTGTCATTTCAGGCTCCAAAGCAGGTGCACAATCTGCACATCACCTCAGCTTAACCCACTGATTATATCTTTCCCAAATACTCCAACCGGTTATGTTCAGCCTTTCATATTTCACTAATCCTGTCGATCCTCCAAAAGAAAACAGTCCCTGCTGTCAGTACACATTAGACCTGGAATTCAAAGGGATGCAGGGAATTCTCTGCATTCTAGTCTATCCACACGGTTATGCCAAATGACCTCTGAGAACTGTAGTTAAAGTCACACATTTTCCTTTCTCTCTTGTGTTTAATTACTTGAGCTCTAAAAGGTTACAGCCATCAAATGAGCGAACGATCAGGACATGGATCGTAACGTCGGCCTGTCAACTGACACTGCGAGACGAGGAGCGAGAGTGACTGCGTGTAAAGAGGTCAAGAAGAGTGGAGTCAGAGAGAGTGCAGACAGGGCACTTCTGAGCTGCGATATCTGACACAGCAGATAGCCAGTCTCAAACAAACCACTGTCTCCAGCGTTTCCCACAGGGCAGCAGGGCTGAGAAAACTCTCAGTACCCATTTGGACAAAGGTTAGAATGCGTTTGCAGTCCTTTCGTGCTTTGAATTCTTTATCATTTCACTACGATACAACTGGTTGGGGCGTAGAATGAAATATTACACTGCTATTTCTGCTTTTATAATGGGCTGTTGTTAAGAATATCCCAGAGGGGTAAACGGACCAAAGCCTCAAGGCGAAGTTATGAAAACACACCTAGAAAATGCAAAGCAAATGTATTTTGATTTCTCTGTTAGAATTGTAAATCATCTAACTGATATCATCCTTTAATATTATTTGTTTTTAAAGTGTCTTTAATGGTATGGAAAGGGGCTGGGCGATTTGGCCAAAAATCTAAATCTCGATTAATTTTAACTAGATTACGATTAATGAACGATTTTTTTTTTGCCCATCATAGTTCACTGAAAGGTGTTATACAGTAATAAATATGCTCACATACGACAAGTAAGAGATTTCTGATTGAAGGTTGCATTACGTGATTTTAAAATAATTAAAAACACACACTATCTATGACTATTTATTGAACATCAACGTTGAACAGCTGAAACACACACACATACACACACACACACAAAGACATACACACACACATATACACACACATATACACACACATATACACACACATATACACACACATATACACACGCACACACGCACACACACGCACACACACGCACACACACGCGCACACACGCGCACACACACATCTTAAAATGAACAGTCACTTTTTTTTCTTATGAAAACGTGAAAATAAATAACTTGTACTTTTGGTAACAAAAATAATTATTTTTAATGTTTTTAAAAGTTATGGTAGGGAAACTAATCAAAAAAAGTAGATCAATTATAGGTTTCGAATGTCGAATTCAATTACTTTTCAATTAATGGCCCCACCCTAGTACAGAAATTATAATAATACACACAAAAATAGGGCACAATGTACTGTATGCATGAATAATACAGAATTCTCTAAATGGATTTTTATAGGTATTTTATTGGCATCTTTAATTTCACATTAAATTGTGTTTTAAGGTCACAGAAACATAAAATTACCAGAAAGTTTGTTGTGTACATATTATTATTATTATTATTATTATTATTATTATTATTATTATTATTAATATTATCATCGTCAACAACAACTTGTGTTTACGGCATCCCAGTGGTACAGTGGGTAACACAATCGCCTCACAGCAAAAAGGTTGCTGGTTCAAGCCCTGGCTGGGTCAGTTGGCATTTCTGTGTGGAGTTTGCATGTTCTCCCAGTGCTCGTGTGGGTTTCCTCCGGGTGCTCCGATTTCCCCCACAGTCCAAAGACATGCGCTATAAGGGAATTGAATAAGCTAAATTGGTCGTAATGTATAAGTGTGTATGTAAGAGTGTATGGGCACTTCCCAGCAATGGCATAGCAACCGGGGGGCAGGGATACATCCCCCTCACTTTTAGAGACAGACCATTTAGAAACAGGTGACTAATAATTATATAAATGTAAACTTTTGGATCTCCTACAGCTGTCCCCCCACTTTTAAAAAAATCACTTACGCCCCTGTTTCCCAGTGTTGGGTTGTGGCTGGAAAGGCATTCGCTAAGTAAAACATATGCTGGATAAGGTGGCAGTTAATACTGCTGTGGCAACCCATGATTAATAAAAGGAGTAAGCCAAAATGAAAATGAATGAATGAATGAATGAATGAATGAATGAATGAATGAACTTGAGTTTATGTGAATGAATAAATGAAAATAGCTTATAATAATTAAAGGCTTTTTGCAATGTAATTTATAACAATTTATTACACAAAAAATAAAAAGTGATTAAATATGATTCAAATAATGAATTCATAACAAAAGCACAAAAACTGCAGAATTTCTGGCAAATACTGTGATGAACAGGACATTGCTTTGCCATGTCACGTCAACTAAAAAGCAACAGCCCAAGTTAAATAACCTCTCAAAAGTTTAATCTGACAAATATAACTTTAACTTTAGTATTATTAGATCTGAAATAGCGTTTTAGGTCAAACCAGTCGAGCATTCACGATGAGTAATAATGAGTGTGCCTGTTGCTCAGGGAGAACCCAGCCGGTGATGTCAGTGTCAAGCTCCGCGTCAACACTTTCTGCTGAAATAACGCAGATCCCCTCAATGCTTCCAGGATAGTGGGACTTGGAGTAATTTGATTTTGTTCGTCTAGTTTAGCTGAGCAGTCGGGTGCATTTGACAAAGAGACCTCGCGCTGTCAAGTGCACCCGTTGCCTCGAGCAAAACAGGACTCACAAAAACAATGAAATAAGTCAATAGTCGAGCTTTGAAAAAAACTTAGTTTGACACTCCCCTCAAAGTCTACACCTGTACGACTGGTGGTCATGTTTATGTATAAACAACGCCGTAAACATTTAGCTCGTGGCCCCTGAAAATAAATAAGTTGCTATTACTCACTCGGGCTGTGTGTATTGTGTTTAGGAAGTCCAGTCAAGACGTCTTGAGCTTCTTGTATAGTCACTCCCTTTAAAAAAGTTGCCTCGACTTTGCTTTCAAAAGCCAAAAATAACGAATGTAAAGTAATAAATCCCAGACTTTGAATTGGTGTTCGCGTTCAAAGTGTTTTTCTTTCCAGACAAAACGCCTTGTACAATCTGCGTTCAACGAGGCAGGCGGGCGGAAGTAATCTTATTGTTGATTGGACAGTTAACAGAAATAGGGCGGGACTGAAGTGTAATCCTGAAATCCGATTGGCGATTACATAATCAATCATATGCCACACCTGCCCTTATTCTATACAAAATTATGCTTTATTATAAGAGCTCTACATGGAGAGTGTACATACGTTAATAACTCATAACGACACCTTTCAGTGTTGTTTTGGATGCCTCATTTGCTAAGACTCATTTCCTGGAATGAGAGTTCAGACGACAATACACCTGTCTTTCCTGTTCCAGAGCACGACTGTCAGTTTGTGTATTTATTATTCTATAAATTTTTTAATATTAAACCCTATCTATGTATCTCTTATAACTTGAAATTATCCGTCTCGACACGCTAGTCCTTCCTTGCTTCAGTCAGTGGTTTTCTTCAGTGAGGAAATCGTGAACGCAGACTGGTTTGACAAGTTTCAAGACAATGCTTCATAAGGTTTAAACCGAGGTTTAGTTTCAACACATAACAAAATGTTTAGTTGTCAATAGTCCACTACAAAGAGCTACTGAAATTGTATCTTCAGTTGTAGGTTTTATAAAGAAAAAAGGAAAGAAAGGCAATTGTTTGCTACCTAAAGGCTGGGATTCAGAATAGCTCATCTGTCATGCGTACACTTAATACATAAGCAATGCCGATTTAGCCCTTGAGTAGTAATGAAAACACGCAACACCTTTATGTCATGACTACCACTACTACATCACCCCCTCGTGGTTGAGATTTGAAATCGAAAACTCTTGCATGGGGATATTGAGAACTACATGTACACAGCTTTATGACTGTGAGGTTTTGGTCAGTGATATATTTTCCTTCATAACACAATCCAGGTCTGATCATGAGTTGAAATCAAATAGGAAAAATAATCATAATACAACTTTTTCTTAGATTGTTTTTTGTTTTTTTTTTTGTATTTTTGTTTTTGTAATTTTTTTTTGTAATTTTTAAGATAAAAACGCTAAAGTAAAATTTGTTAATAAGTTAAATATATTCCTGTTCTGAATACAGTGATTTCATTTGGGACATTTCAACTTTATAATATAACTTTATAGTAACTTTATGGTAAAATACAGATTAATGTGTCATTTTGGATCATTAAAATAGCAAAAGACCATAAAAACATTTTACAATGAAAAAAGTAAACTGATATTTCTGTTTGGCCACTTCACATCTAATGTTTATTTCTTGTTTCTTAATCTTTTTTTATCTTCTTATTCATCAACATGATTTTGGAAACATTGTGTTTATAAATGAGAGTTTAATGTATTTGGTGTAATTTTATAATGGCAGTGTTTTGTATTTGTTTTCTTGACATTATGCAACATCTATAAACTGATCTCAGTTTGTAGAATGAACTACTTGTGATAAATGCATTGTATAAATATTTTTACCACCTGTGAAATCATAATGTTTTCTGTATATTAAAGACAAAACAGAGTATATTAAAAGTGTGGTTATGCTAATCTGTTAGCAGAAAAGGGCTGATGAATGTTTCCAGAAGTGTCCACAGTGTGTGACAAATGTCAGTTTTTAGATTCCACCCTGTCTCATTCCTATGTTATGTGTCCCAAATTACAAAGTTTCTGGAACAAAATACTTAAAGTTTTTTCAGTTACATTAAACATTCTGATTGAACCAGATCCTATATTAATTATATTTTGAGTTTCCGAAGAATTTTTGAGACTTACATAGGTACAACAACAGTATGTTTCATATGGGTTGATCTTTGCCAACTCTTGCCAGTTCCAACTTGCCAGTTTCAACTCTTAAATTATGGCTGAGAGAGTTAACCGGTACATGACATCTGGAAAAAAATAGATATACCCTAATAGACAGGTATAAGAGCCTGTCATTGTTTTATTTATGTTAAATGAATAATAATGTGAAAAGCAAAAATAATAACTAAATAATTAAATATTTTTTAATATAGAGTATATGCTGATGTCACTTCCAGGAAGGAAGAAGTTGTGTCATGAAGGTGGAACCAAGACCATTTTTTTACCATGTAATATAGTTCAGTTAAGTTTTTATTAAACATTTTTAAAACAACATCACTGGATTGTCTTACTCAGGTTAAAACCCTAATAATTCGAAGGAAGAAACAAGACAAGAGACAGATTGATGGCACATACAACAGGGTTTTGTTATTTGAAAAAGAGTTGGTCCCCTTTTATTTTCTTTTTTACAAACTTGTGATTAATATGTTTACTATGCCTTTAGTACCTATGTTTATTGTTGAACTAGTGGGTGGTTGGTTGGGGGAAAGCATGTTTATTTTTTATTTTTTGTTTAATTATTATTTTTTGACTGTTGTTTGTTATTGATTTATTATAATTTTATTTTATTTTTAATAAAAAAAATATATTTTCAAGGGAATGTCTGCAAAAATTTCTAATAATAAAAAATTTAAACCAGAAAAGGGCTGATAAATTACACACTGGCATCAATAGATTCATCAAGACCCTTTTAAATCCAAATTGAAAAAATATACTTTAGTACTTTAGTATATTGCTCTTCGTACTAAGAATAATAAATTATCTTCTGGTTTAATGCATCACTGGAAAACACACTTCTTAAACTTTAAAGTTAAAGCTATTAAATTATTCAGAAAATCTGTTTTATTTTGTACATTTCTTAACAGTGTAACATGGAAAATGTGTAAACTTATTCTAGAAGCACATGTGCTCAAGAGCTGATAAAGGACTCGAACAATCAGTGTGCTGATGCACCTGCTTTCATTGTTAGAAAACAGTGTATCCAACAATGATGCTAAAAGAGGATTTTTGCTGTTTAGATATTTGGAATAAACTATGAGCAAATAGTTGAAAAACTTCATGACAATAACTCCAGTTTTTTATGGGGAGAGTACTATAGACACAACATAATGTCATGGAGCTTAATTTTTAGACATTCAGAGAAACAGTATGGATTTGACTGTATTAACACTCTTTTATACAATTTTAATGTGACCTATGACAGTCTTAGAAACCATTAATAACTGATAAACTTTGCAACACATGCACAGATTAACTTTGCAACACATGCACAGATTAACTTTGTAACACAAGCACAGCTGTTGAACCAAACTAAATCATTTGAACCCAATAATGCATGCTTGTACTGCTTCATTAAATTTGTTTCATATCGTAACTGATTAACTTTGCAACATTAAAGGGACAGTTCACCCAAAAAATGATAATCCACTCACTGTTTACTCACCCTGTAGCTGAAAACATATAACCACTGACTTCCATGGTAGGAAAAACAAATACAGCAGTCAATGGTGACAGGTTTTTAGTTTTTTTCACAATATCTTATTTTGTGTTCAACAGAAGAAAGAAACTCTTGGGTGAGTAAATGATGATCAACATTTCCGCCTTGGGTATACTGTCGCTTTAACACCATTAATGAAATTAACCGAAGCAACTTTTAATGGAACTGCCACTAACAGGTTACTTCTCACTTTAAATTTAAGCTATTAAGTTTAAGATGAAGTTTGTATCACTTTTATATTCCTGTTTATGTCAGTGATGCTGCATGGTTTAAAACAATCTGTATAAGTTTGTTTCAGTAGAATTCAAATGTATGAAGTGCACTTTATGTAATCAATATACAAATATCAAGGTAGTAAATATGCTATTTCACTATTTTCACTTTATTATTTATACTGAATTTTCCCACTTTTTAGTTTTTACGTGTACTGTAAGGCAAGGCAAGTTTATTTTTATAGCACATTTCATACACCATGGTAATTCAAAGTTCTTTATTCAAAGAAAGAAAGAAAGAAAGAAAGAAAGAAAGAAAGAAAGAAAGAAAGAAAGAAAGAAAGAAAGAAAGAAAGAAAGAAAGAAAGAAAGAAAGAAAGAAAGAAAGAAAATACAAGGAAAAAACTAAAAATAAAATGATTAAAAACAGATTAAAATGTGTTAAACAGCTTTTAAAAGAAAAAAAAGAAAAAAAAAGACATATTAGTGTGATCTGTCAGACATAGCACAGTGATCATTCAGTAAAGGCACAGCTAAACAGATGTGTTTTAAGTCTTGATTTGATTGTACCTGTTGTTGGAGCACATCTGATCATTTCTGGAAGCTGATTCCAGCAGTGGGGGTGTAGCTGAAAGCAGATTAACCCTGCTCTGAATGAACTCTTGAAATTTTTAATTTACTGTATAAATCTCAGAGTGCTCACACTGTAAAAAACTATATGACAAAAGTTGGTAACAAATGTTTTTTTTTTTAATTCACCCATTCATTCATTCTTTTCAGCATATGTTTCACGCAGCAGATGCCCTTCCAGCTGCAACCCATCACTGGGAAACATCCATACACTCTCATTCACACACATACACTATGGACTATTTAGCTTACCCAATTCACATATAGCGCATGTCTTTGGACTTGTGGGGGAAACCGGAGCACCTGGACGAAACCCATGTGAACACAAGGTGAACATGCAAACTCCACAAAGAAATGCCAACTGACTCAGCCAAGATTCAAACTAGCGACCTTTTTACTGTGAGGCGATCCACTGCGCCACTGTCCCATCAAAATGTTTTTTTATTGTTGTTTTGTTTATTTTTTTTGTTATACAAAGTTTATCTTAATATTTTAAATCAGTTTGACTGATGTAAGTTGAGATGACTAGAAAAGCTATTTGATTCATCCAAAACAAATGGCAGCAAGATTTTTTTAAAGTACAATGTGTTTTTGTTTGGACTGCAACTACAAGTGAACTTATAAAATACAATACTGAAAGGGTGAATAGCACTTTCTTTAGTTTATTAATTGAAGTCTATTATCAGTACAAGTTTTAATAAAACAATATGCAAACTTAAAATACTTATTTTTTAGCTTGGAATAAACAATTTTTTGAAGAGCTGACAGGGTTTTAAATCTGCAATAACTCAAGTTTGAATGCAACTGAAAATCTGTATGACCTGTAAATATCCACCCACACTCTTCATCT